CCCTCCTGGCAGGGAGTTGCCGAGGGCCAGGAGGTCTCCCCTCAGCCTCCTCTTCTCCAGACTGAACCCCCCCAGTTCCCCCAGCCGCTCCCCAGCAGACCTGTGCTCCAGACCCTGCCCCAGCTCCGTTCCCTTCTCTGGCCACGCTCGAGTCATTCAATGGCCTTTTTGGGGTGAGGGGCCCAGAACTGAACCCACTCAGCGAGGGGCGGCCTCCCCAGTGCCGAGCCCAGGGCTCAGATCCCTCCCCTGTCCCTGCTGGCCACACCAGGGCTGACACAAGCCAGGATGCCATTGCCCTCCTTGGCCCCCTGGGCACAATCACAAGGGCCATGAGACCTCAGGGCACACAAGGGGCTTGTGGATGCATCTGCGGTGGGATTTCCAGAGGAGATATCCCTATCAAGGTTCAACACTCCCCCCCTGCCCCGTGAGCTTCCAGTGGACCAGCACACCCCATTCTGGGCACAGTATAAGTTGACACGCTTAGCCCAGTGGGTCAGGGTCCTCCAAGGAGGCAGCACTCCCCTGAGGGGGAGCACCCTTGGCTGCTATGCCAGCGTCAAACGGAGATGGGCTGTGACACCGCCTGTGTCACACCGTGAGCAAGAACAACCCTCGGTAGGAGGAACAGGGCATGGACCTCCCAATTCCAGCTGGAGCTCGGCTGGTTTGCTGGTAAGATAATGGGGTTTCTGCTCCACGAGCCCACAGGTCCCCCCAAAATCCTGGCTCCTACTCACTTCCTGGCAGCTTCAGGTTGTCCACGACCGGTAGATAAACCTCTCTGTCCCGCTTCTCCTCCTCTGGCGTCCGCTCCACTGTCAGCTGGTAAAGCTTCAGTGAAATGATGTCGTGGTTGTCTGGAAGCAGAGCAGAAACGTGGCCTGAGGTGTCACTGATAAATACGACTCTGGCCAGGGATTTGAGTGCCACGGGCAGCACCGGGGTTTGTTATCACTTGGGGAAAAAGGTGCTGGTTCTTCCCTCCCAGGGGGGAAAAAAAACCCCAAACCAAACAAAACACCCTCACCTCCACAGGGCAGTGTCTGCGCCAGGCTGAGAGCTGCGCCTCAGCGCAGGGCCCTCGGCCAACAGGAACCTTTAAGCTACTTAAACTGAAAAACAACAACTCAGACTGGGAGATCATCTGACTCGAAACTGCTGGGCCACCCGAAGGGAATGTGTTAGCATCGGCCTCACGTGGCCCTACTTCCTTTGCTCGTGGTGGCGGAGCTGTTAGCGGGACAAGGCGAGCGTGGAGCCTGCCAGCTCCCTGGGCTGAGATCTGAGAGAGAAAAGGAACTTTTGTTGGAGCAGACAATGGGCCCAGACACCAGCCATCAATGCTCTTTTGTTGAGAAATAACTCAAATCGGGCTTAAAACCTGCTAAGAGGCACGGCGAGGTAATGTCAGGACCAGCACCGGGAGAGAAGTTATTACGCTGAGGAAGGCAGAGAGGTTTAGCTCTTTGCAAAACCTGATTTACATCAGCCCACATTGCAGCACCATTTCCAGGCGCGCCTGGCTGGTTCCTCCCTCAGTAACGGGTGGGCAATAGCTCTTGGGCCACAAAATCCAAAACAAAATACACCCAGGCGTGTCGCAGAGAGCGGGAACGAGCATGGTGGCTCAGTTGTAACACCTGGGGCATTGGCAGCCAAGGCAGTTCTTGCCAGCGCTGCCCTCGGGGCTAATGCAGGCACCCCGGGTTGCAGCAGGATAGCACACAGGATTTTTTTTTTTTTTTTTCAGTGCTCCTCCTCTTTTTACTCCTCCCAAGGCACATGTTTTGGAGACAGACCCTCCAGATCAGCGGGTTCAGCTGTCGTTATGAGGCTGGCTGAGGTCACGCCGTGGCCCTGCCAGGAGCTCAGGGGAAGTGCTGCCTAGCAAAGCGCTCCGGGCTTTGGGCCGCTCAGGAGTTGCTGCAAGCTGAAAACCAGGGCTCCTGCTCACAGCTCGAGGGCGTTCAAAGCATTGAAAGGTCCTCACGGTGCTTCCATAAGCCCCACCAGAGATCGAGCTGCACCTCCAGACACAAAAAGCTGCGCAGGAGCTGCCAGAGCCACTTGGAAAACAAAGCTGGGGACCTCGGTACCTGACAGGTCTCCGGTGACAGAAGAAGTCCCAAAGTAGTAGCCACGGGGCAAGCGCACGCCCGGTACGTCGATGCAGTCTCTCCACTCGTGTTTCCCATCAATATCGATCAGCACCTGAGAAAGAAGCAGCTGGCTTAGCCCTCGCCACGGCCCCGCTGCCCGCTCCGCCCCGGCAGGCAGCGCTCACCGTCAGCCGCCTCTTCACGTAGCGGATCACCAGGAAGGTGTCGTGGTTGAGGTTGCGCACCATGGCCGTGCAGCCCCCCAGCTCCGTTGGCCGCCCGTCGCGGTCGTGGTCGTAGGTGAGGGAGCCGTTGTTCACCATGGCCGAGATGTAGGGGAAGACACGCTGCAAAGGGGACAAAGCTCGGGGTGAGTTTCCTCTGCTCTCGATTTGCCGGCCACGGCTCGGCTCTACCGCCTCCAGGACCCCAAACTCCTTCACTCCCCTCCAAGAATCTGCTTCAACAAGACAACAGGATCCCACACCGTCCCCCGGCCTTCCTCGGGCTTAGCCTCAGCTCCCAGACATCTGGGACAGAGGACAGCCGGCTTCCATGCAATATCTCCTGGTTCACCCAGGGATTTCTGGAGCTCGGAGGAGGAAATTCCTCAACTGTGAGTCAAGGTGAAACCCAACAGCTTGAGAACAGGTGGGTCAGCAAGAGCAAGTACCTGATTTCCTGGGCTGTACCTCCTCTTCTGAGCCTGCCAGTCCAGAGTTATCGCAAAGCAAGAGAGAGCACAGAAGCAAGACGGTCACAGACCAGAGTTTAGTATTAACCTGCAACCTGGAAACTTCCTCTCTAGAGAGCTCAGGGCGTTATCAGCTTAGCAGAGGGGTTTACGTGTCAGGTGACCAACGCCAGGACACGCAGCAAGGGAATGGTGGGTGAAAGCCACGTCTAGCGTTGCCACCTACGACATTTCTCCTCCTCCCCACCACGCAGCAGCTCATCGGCACAAAATCCAGCGCCTCAACGGGGGACACAATGGCCATGACAGCTCACCAGGGACCCACAAACTAACCTGCCCCTCTTCCCTCAAGAATAAGACACTTTTTGTCCTTTAAAGATGAGAAAAAGCAGCTGTGAACCCTCACACCATTACAGCAACTGGCCGATCAGCATTTCTCCGTCTCTCCCCAGAGGAGGGCAGCTCCCTCCAGTTGTGCCAGGAAGCCGGACACCCACATTCCGCTAATTATTTCTTTTAAATAAGACTCATTTTGCATCCATTTACCCCACAAAAGCAGGGCTGCCACCCTGCAAATCAACAGGATCCATCCAACACCACGTTCACCCCCGATAATGCGGCACCAGGCAGCTTGGAAAAGCTTTTAGGAGCACAAAGTCCAGCCCTGCGCCAGAGCCAACTGCTTCGGATGTTTGAACAAAAGCTGGTAGTTACCCAACATTTGCTCGGCAGCTCCAAGGTCAGGGCGCATCCCAACTACACCCTTTTGTCTCTCTCCCCGGGATAAAGGGGGTCCTGCAGGGCCGCGGGGTTAGCACCGAGGTCTTGGGGTAAAATAGTGCCTATTTTTCCGGGGAAACTGGAATTAAGAAAGAGTCCGGCTTTGTTTTATGGAGTGATGAAACTGATTCCAGCATTAGGGTGGGAAAAGCCTAGTTTTAACTGCCTCTGCACTCCCTTCTCCGCAGGAACAGACATCAATAAACCCCCAAACAAACAACAGATGCATCAGGAACACAAAGATCTTTAGACAGGGATCTTTCAAAGAGGCAGAGTGTGGCCATGGCGCATCCCTAAGAGCAGGGAAAGCTGACTCGCTGCCGCGGAACGGCCCCATCGTGCGGGCAGGCCTGGGCTGGCAGCTCGGGGCCCGCTTTACTCGAGCTCTACAGAAATCACACTCTTAGTACAGCTTCACCTCAACTACTACTTGCTGGCAGCCTCCAGAAAGCACAAGAGCTCGCAACGCAGAGGCGATGATGTTGCCTGGTTTTCTCTTGCCCCAAAAGGTTCTTCTCTGGGTAAAGCTGACCACAAAGCCACCCTAGAGCGCTTCACGTCTCTCAAGTTAGTGCTTCACTAGGAAGAAAAACCAACTACGCAGAGCACAGCGGGGAGGATGCAGAGTAACACCCATGATTTAAGAGCTCAAGAAAAAAGATTGCACCACGCCGACGAAGAGCTGCGTCCGCAGCGATGAGAGCCATAACCTCGGTGCTGCCCGCGGCACGGTCCCGTTTATCCCCCCTAGCTCACCTCCTGCTGCTTCTCCTCGTTTGGGTAGGTGTCCACGAACACTCCCAGGCCCAGGAAGTTATCCTTGCTTCCAAAGACAGGTCCTAGAAGGAAGGAGAGGCTGTGAATAAGGGTGGCAAGGCCAGGCAGGCGTCACAAATGGGTTTGTGAGCCATCCCTTTGCGTTTTCTCTGCAGCAGCCAACGAGGCAGCTTTGAGCAGTGAACTGAGTATGCAGACAGGGCAGTCAGAGGGCCAGATTAAATGCCCCACACTTTGCTGGTCAAGGACGGAGCTTCCTCCTCAGTCTGTTTTATGAAGGAGCTGAATGCCAGCGCGGGAGGCCCCACACATCCTATTACACCACCCACCTCAAGATCAGGGCAAAACAATCCTGAAGAAACCCACCCCTGAGCCAACTCCAGCCTCCCAGGGCCCCATAAACCCCCAACCCAAGGTGCCGAGGCTCAGGGGCAGCCTCACACACAGCCATTACTCCCTCTTCGCCTGCCAGGGCAAAAGAAAAACAGCCCTAAGGCCCCAAAACACTGCAATTCCCCACTGTGATTTCCCCAGCCAAGCCTACACACCAACACGTGTCCTCAAAAAGGTGACATGTGGCCCCCGACACCTTCCCCTCAAGGCACAGCCTCCACCCCGGGAGCTACCACCGGTGCTTTACCTGGCTGCATGCGATCTTTGGTGTACCAGATGGCAAAGCCGTCTCCATTCAGATTCTTCTTGCCTTGGCCATGGATTTTAAAATGCACCTGCATCTCCCAGTCTCGGAGGTAACACGGCTGCAAGAAAAGGAGCAAGGATGTGAAATCTGGGTGTCCCTTGTGCCAGCACCCACCACTTCCCTGCCCACGAGGGTGAGAAGCCGGCAGAGACCAACCACCGCAGCCCATCGCAACAGCTGGCAGCTTCACACCTTGCTGCTCCCCCATTTCCCTTGCCAACAGACTGTGCTGTCCATATTTTGGATGTAAGCAAGAATAATTAACCCCAAGGGACATCATTAAGTTGAGGGAATTGGTTGTTACCCAAGGCTATAAAAAAAAAAAAGAGCCAAGGAAACGATTCTGATATCACACTATTCTGAGGTAACAGCAACTCCAGCAAAATCAACAAATCGTACCCGGGAAAAGGAGAACAGAAAAAGCCCAAGGAGCAGCTCCCTAATTGCTGATGAGCCAATTATTTCTTGAGCTACTAACAACTGCCCTGCGCTAACAGGCACGCAACACAACAAGCTTGTAACAGATTCGCTCACACAATGTTGTGAAGCCGGCTGGTTTCGTGGGAGCTGTAAACCCAAGCAAAAAAAAAAAAAAAACGAAAACCAAAACCAAACACCTCCCTCGATATTTTATAAAAATCAAAAGTTGAGCATAACACTGCTTCTGGTCTCGTAAGGCATTTTCCAAAGCACCGTGGAGCAAGCTGGATCCTGGGGCACAAAAGTCTCAGCGATTTCAACCCAAAATTGAGATTCAAGGGGAATTATCACGGTATTAAAGGTGGCCTTGCTGTCTGCCACGCAAAAGGCTCACGGGGGCAGCGAAACGCTTTAACAGCACTAACACACCCCATCAAGCTGCCACTTTACCAGCCCCTCTCTGAGACGTGGGCATGGCAAAGCGGGCAGTGGGCGTGCTCCAGCTGTGGCCGTCCCAAGAGAGACCCCAAGCTGGTCAGCACAGACACCCCAACTTCACATGGAGGGGAACTCAGCCCTGGCAGGAATCACCACATCAAAGGCTGGAAGCTGAAGCGTGGCTAGTACCCCCAGCCCCAACCCACCCAGCCCTTCCCCAGCTTCCCATGGCCCCCCACCATCACCTTGTCTCAGACCCTCAAACCTCCCCAGTCCAAACACCCTGTGCACCCATAAGCCCCCACCCTCTAAACCCCTCGTCCCCCCACACTCCCTCATTTGGCCCAGACCTACGCAGCCACCCTAACACC